AGGACTACCCCTTCCAACTCTCCCATCCACACTCGTCTTATACTTGTTTCGTCTCTTTTGTCACCTGCGCGCGATTTGTGGACGCGACTAGCACTAACCACTGCACATGAGACTGCTGACTGACTGGCTCACTCAATTCGTGCATGTATCGCACGCCTCCCCCGCACTGCGTATCCCGCGGCCCACCTGTGCCGCGTCTCCCGTCGCCCGACTGACCGACATCCCCCCCCTTCTTCTAATGCCACTTCTTCAAATTAGACCAGCCCAGGCCGAAAACCAACTTCTGCGCATGGGCCACGAAGTTTCAATCACACTGTACGTGCGCGCCCGCACGTGGTATTTTGTGGAAGAGCCACACTCAAGGGGCCAAAGAGCTGCATGTGGCTCACGAGCCGCGGTTTTCCGACCACTGGTCTAGGTGAATCTAGAGTTTGTTTTATCGTGGGATGTCTAGAGGCCTGATGCCTGAAATTCGTGCAGGGGGCTCAGCCCTCACAGCCCCTGTAGCCTCGGCTTCATCTGGATGGTCATCTGGACGGTCATTCTGCTGTTTGGTCTAATTAGCATATTAGCTCTTTATTATACAGGATAGAGAGACTTATCAATGGTTCTAGTAATCAGTAAAATTCGGAATACAGATGCAAAGTACAGTGAGTTGGTGCTACAGAAATAGATAGACAAAAGACTACAAATCTAGTGGAAAAGTGGTCATGTGACTATAAAATTTAAATTAGGGCAACGTGAACAAAGGAGTCAACAGTGTATGAAAATCTGAACACATTTTTCTGATTCTAACCAAAATGAAAAGTTAATTCTGTTCAAAACTAGCGCAGAATCATTTTTTAAGTGTCTTTTCTCTGTTTTAATTTATCAACGAACCCTATTTTTTTGAAATTTCCATTTAAAAACATTCACACTAATATTAACTCTGTATATGTGGAATAAGAGTTAAATTTCTTTCATATGCTTCTGTGTAGGTGGTTTTTAAAATTCTGTGCTCGTATATTTATTTATCTCTGCAGCTTTTATAAAGGGATTCTGGTAATGTCTCCGTTCAGATACTGGAGTTTCAAATACTTGACTTACTAACCCTCGCTCTTTCTCTTCAACAATTCTCAAGATTCAGGGAAATGTGTAAGATGCAACTTTGGCAATGGCTGGGGATCTCTGCCCCTATATGCTGTTTTCATCCCTAAATGCTATTTCATGAAAGACACATTAATTAAACAGGAAACAGAAACACCAAATGTTTTATTCTATACTTTTAATTTAAAAATATAAACAATATTTGCATAGCATTACATGTAAATATTTACATAGCATTAACATAGAAGGCAGTAAGAAATGTTGGTCTGGTGATTAATGATCATTATCCTTGAAATATAAGGTACCTTTCAAGTAGATAGTATAAATAAAAAAGACTGTTAAGCTGAAACCGGTTTGGCTCAGCGGATAGAGCGTCAGCCTGCGGACTGAGAGGTCCCGGGTTCGATTCCGGTCAAGGGCATGTGCCTGGGTTGCAGGCGCATCCCCATTGGGGGATATGTAGGAGGCAGCTGATCGATGTTTCTGTCTCATCGATGTTTCTAACTTTCTCTATCTCTCTCCCTTCCTCTCTGTGAAAAATCAATAAAATATATTTAAAAAAAAGACTGTTAAAAAGTTTAATGAAAAAAATCATATAATAAAAAATTATTAGCTACATAACTCAGAATTTACATTAAGTATATTTTGGATCCTAATAGTGTTTCCATATTTAAAAATATAACCCCACAAGCCTACTATCTTATGAAGACTAAGTTTGCTTTCAATAAACCACCTTGTCAACATAACATGATAAATATACAGTTTATTTATTATTTACAATCGTTAAACATATTAGAAAAGCAAAACTTTGGTAGTGCTTTTAAAATGTTAAGTAATTTAAAATGTATTAAAAAACTATATTGGGGAAAATATCACACATTATATCTTAATTAAGATAAATGACATTTCATGAAAAGAGTATATTGACCTAATAATACAGGTACACAATGGAATGAATATGTAATGTACCATGAGAAACTTAAAAATGTTTCTCAACATTTATTTAATCATAAAATATGTAAAACAAGAAAACACTAAACTAAAAACTAGGCTTGAACTTGAAATCAAATAATTTTTTCAATGTGAGAAAATGCAGGCAAATCCAAGCTTAAAAATAATCCAGAGACAAATGATGGGCACTGTTTTGAAATTATTAAAAAGTGTTACGCTGAAAGCAACATTTGGGTTTTTATTGCCCCATTGACAGTGCTGTCTAATCTATGAGTTGGTGAATTAAATACTACATATAATGGTAACACAGTATTTTCCATTATATCATATTATATACTTTCAGAGCAAATTATGTATCCACAAATTATAAAAATAAGTCTTTCTATAGTTTAAAAACAAATAAAAATATAATAATTTGTATTAAAAAATATGGCAAACCTGATAATCATGACCTTTTTTGGCTATGATTATATTGAGTTTTTAAGTTATCTATTCAATAAATTAAATCAAAAACCTTTGATCCACCAATGTTTTGGATGCCAAATTCTTCTGTCCTACTATATTACGAATAAATTTAAAAACCTGGGGGGGGGAAATAAAACAATTTGGAATTATAAAAATGTATATATAAAGAAAACTAAATATGCAAATCAATTATAATATCTAAATTAAACTGGCCCTGGGCTAGATCTGTAGTGTTTGCCTTTTTATTATCTTAGCATCTGGTACAGAGGGTGTATGGGACTCTAATTACTGCTCACATCTGGCACCTAGGATATGGAAAATGTGTCTTCCTACTGGATTCCTTTCACATCTGCTCAAGTAACTTATGCCCTCCATAAGACCCCAGTATTTCATTGACTCGACAGAGTATAGAATGACAGTGGTTGAACTGTTATTCATTTTGGGGGTAGGGTTAATCATATTCTAAACCTTTACAAATTCCGATTGAAATCATTTTCTGCTATGAAAATAAACACATCTACTTCCAACACTTTATTTTTAAAAAGAAACCCAGAAAAACGTAAAACTTTACCTCTTGTTGTAGATATGTAAGGAAGGCTGCTAAAATAAAGTTTTGGCAAGCCAAGTCCACAATACAGAAGAACAGCAGATCATAAATAAGAAGAGTGGCTTCATTTCCATAATACAGAACGCTGCTGAATGAATAACCGTCATCTATTTAAAAAAAAAAAAA